CGCTCTGGGCGCGGCTGGCATGGAGGGGGGCACTTGGGGGGCACTGCCAGGCCTGGATCTGACCGGTGGCCCTGCTGGCTCTGGTGACAGCCACGTCATGGAGCTGCTGTTCCACATGGAGCAGCCGTGGACAACCTGGTGTCACGGTGGGGATTGTCCTGGGGAAATGCCGTGGGCACTGAGGGGACTTGGGGGGGCACTGCTGGTGTCACGGTGGGGATTGCTGTGGGGAAACGCTCTGGGCACAGCTGGCATGGAGGGGGGCACTTGGGGGGCACAGCCAGGCCTGGCACTGACCGGTGGCCCTGGTGGCTCTGGTGGCTCTGGTGGCTCCGGTGACAGCCACGTCGTGGAGCTGCTGTTCCACACGGAGCAGCCGTGGGCAACCTGGTGTCACGGTGGGGATCACCCTGGGGAAATGCCGTGGGCACAGCTGGCACTGGGGGCACTTGGGGGCCACAGCCAGGTCTGGATCCAACCGGTGGCTCTGGTGACTCCGGTGACAGCCATGTTGTGGAGCTGCTCTTCCACATGGAGCAGCCGTGGGCAACCTGGTGTCACTGTGGTGATTGTCCTGGGGAAATGCCAGGGTGCTGTGGGCACAGCTGGCACTGGGGGCACTTGGGGGGCACAGCCAGGCCTGGCACTGACTGGTGGCTGTGGTGACAGCCACGTCGTGGAGCTGCTTTTCCACATCGAGCAGCCGTGGGCAGGGTGGTGTCATGGTGGGGATTGCTGTGGGGAAACACTCTGGGCACAGCTGGCATGGAGGGGGGCACTTGGGGGGCACTGCCAGGCCTGGATCCGACCGGTGGCTCTGGTGGCTGCGGTGGTAGCCACGTTGTGGAGCTGCTGTTCCACATGGAGCAGCCATGGGCAGGGTGGTGTCACGGTGGGGATCACCCTGGGGAAATGCCATGGGCACAGCTGGCACTGGGGGCACCTGGGGGGCACTGCCAGGCCTGGAACTGACTGGTGGCTGTGGTGGCTCTGGTGACAGCCACATTGTGGAGCTGCTGTTCCACATGGAGCAGCTGTGGGCAGGGTGGTGTCATGGTGGGGATCACCCTGGGGGAACGCTGTGGGCACAGCTGGCACTGGGGGGGCTTGGGGGGCACAGCCAGGCCTGGCACTGACCGGTGGCCCTGCTGGCTCTGGTGGTAGCCACGTCGCGGAGCTGCTGTTCCACATGGAGCAGCTGAGGAGCCTGGTGAGGCGGCAGGTCCGGGTGCTCCAGCGCTACCACGTCCAGTACCTGGCCCGCTTCGACGCCCTGCTGCTCAGCGAAGTCATCCAGGTACCGCGGGGGCCCTGCCAGGGTCTGTCCCCTCTGTCCCCCCCCTTGGGGCTTGCCCTGTCCCCTGTCTGTCCCTCCATCCTGGCTGCCCCTCATCCCGGCCCCATCCCTGGCCCCACAGAACCTCTCCGTGTGCCCCGAGGAGGAGTCCATCATCCTCTCGTCCTTCGTCAGCTCCCTCTCGGCTCTCTCCGTCAAGGAAGGTACGGACCGTGTTCCCTCACGTGTCCCTGGCGTGTCCCCTCACATGTCCCTGACGTGTCCCCTCACATGTCCCCAACATGTCCCCTCACATGTCCCTGACGTGTCCCCTCACACGTCCCTGCCGTGTCCCCTCACGTGTCCCCGACATGTCCCCTCACATGTCCCCAACATGTCCCCTCACATGTCCCTGACGTGTCCCCTCCCATGTCCCTGACGTGTCCCCTCACACGTCCCTCACATGTCCCCTCACATGTCCCGCACATGTCCCCTCGCATGTCCCCGACGTGTCCCTTCACATGTCCCCTCGCATGTCCCCGACGTGTCCCCTCACATGCCCCCGATGTGTCCCCTCACACGTCCCCCTGCCCAGGGACTGCTGTCCCCTGTTCCCAGGAGCCCTGGTCCTGGACCACTCTGCACCCAGGCATGGTCTTGGGGTTGGGGGGCAGCTCCTGGGGGTCCTGTGGGGTGGGCGCTGCCACCCACCAGACTGGCACGCACCAGGCTGGCACCCCCAGGAGACTGGCACCCCCAGATTAGTGCCCCTAGACTGATAATCCCCTCAGCCCCCCCCCACATGCCCCCATGTTTCTGTTTCCCCCCAGTTGATGACAAGGAGCAGTTTGATTTCGCGCCGCTCCGCCTGGACTGGTTCCGGCTCCAGGTGCTGTCCCTGTCCTTGTCACTGTCCTTGTCCCTGTCCCCATCCCAATCCCCATCCTTGTCCCTGTCCCAGTCTCCTGCCTCTCTCCCCATCTCCTGTCCTTATCCCCTTCCCTGTTACTGTCCCCATCCCTCTCCCTGTTGATGTCCCCATCCTCTTCCCTGTTGTCCCCATCCCCTTCCCTATTGATGTCCCCATCCTCTTCCCTGTTGTCCCCATCCCCTTCCCTATTGATGTCCCCATCCCCTTCCCTGTTGTCCCCATCCCCTTCCCTATTGATGTCCCCATCCCCTTCCCTGTTGTCCCCATCCCCTTCCCTATTGATGTCCCCATCCTCCCTGTTGTCCCCATCCCTTTCCCTATTGCTGTCCCCCGCCCCTTCCCCATTTTCCCCCTCCCCCTCCCCTTTTCTTTTCCCCCCCCCCTCCCCCTTTTTTTTTTTTTTTTCCCTTCCTTAATTGGAAGCCATACTTATTTCTCTGGTCTTAATAATTTATATTTTAAAAATCTAAAAAGTCTGTTCTGACTGATTCTTTCTGAATCTTTGCTTC